TCTATATTAATGAGGGGAAGCTAAGCCTGTCCCCCAGTTTGTCTCTCTATTTTTAAACTGCTCAGAGTAGCCTGGAATCTGCACAAAGAGCGTGACCAAAGACACATCTAAAAGGTAAATAACATTTAAGAATATGTTTAGGTACGCTGTGTGAATAGGAAGACTTAGGGGTCTATTCACAAAGCTGGCGAGGGCAGCCGAGTGAATGACCGATCAGAAGTGAAGTAAGCCGAACACTGTTCGGCTATTCACTTCAGGCTGGTACGGCTGATTTCAGCCGTACATCGGCTGAAATCAGCCGTACATCGGCTTGCTTCGTGTGGCTTTGGATCAGCCGAACATGCTTAGCATGTTCGGCTGACCTGAAGTGCAGAAGGAGTTCGACTCAGCCTGCCAACGGCCGGCCGCTCGGCCAGGTTCGGCTTTCAGCACGGCTCAGCGCTCGACTGAGCTGCTCGGCCATGATCGAGAGCTGTACGGGCTATTGTGAATAGCCCGTACAGCACCCTCTCGGTTCTCCTGAACCAAAGGGGTCCTTGGGCCGAAGCCAGCCGAAGGATCGGCCGAAGCTATGGCCAGATCCTTCGGCAGCTTTGTGAATAGACCCCTTATAGTGGAGTTTTCTCAAATGTAACTGCAAAAGTGGAAATACACTTAAAGGAAATGTGTTTTGCCCCACATGTCCATAGCCCTAAGCTCAGGCATGAGGTAGGTCATCCTCCTTTGGATCCTTACAGCCTGACATTTCTGATCTGACAGGGAGAGAATATAACTGAATAACAGCACACACACCTATCCCTGAGAGGTATTGCTGTTCTAGTATAACATCAAAATAGTGGTGATTGAGGTTTTACAAAAGCCCATTATTGACTGCTTCTCTTTAGGGATATACCATACAAGAAAAGCTGATAAGGATAACAGTATGGGCAACTCTATTATATCTATTTACAGACTTTAGAAATCAAGTCTGGAACTCACTGCCACAGGCGGTGATTTCAGCAAATAATGTGGAATTGTTCAAGAAACTTTTGGACGATTTCTTAAGGGACCGTAATATACAGGGGTACGGGTACTCCTAGAATGAGATCCTAATAGGTTGGACTTGATGGACTAATGTCTTTATTCAACCTCAAATACTATGTAACTATGTAACTAAGTCTTCATTTATTTGTTCACAGCATCTAATTAAGAAGTCCATTAGAACATTAGTGTCACATAGATGCTTGATTTAATGCCAGTGAGATTAATTACTTGCTTCTGCTTGAATGATAAATGACAGCGCTAGAAAAATGGAGATAAGTGGCGGTTTAATGAAGTAACATAGGGTACTGCTATAAGAACTTTTATATGTATCTGCGAGAGGGATTTATAGTGGCTATAGGCAAAAAGTATGTAGAAAAGGGTTTCCGTGAATGAAACTCTTTTCCTTTTATGGGTATTTTATACCTGTTATCCAATAAATTTTTAGCTAATTAAAGGGATTTGCAATCCATCTTTGTGACTCTTGCTATTTAGAAAGATTCCACAGGAAAAAAATGACAGCCTAACTCCAGACAAATTTCTTGGATTGGTTTGGGGATTGGGTGGGGATTTCTAAAATTGCTGTCTGTGACATCATTGTGAAGATTTTCCCTCTCTTCCTGTCTCTATGAAATACAATACTGTACAAGAAATGGGGGGGGGGGGAGTCTC